AAATTGGGGGTTTCCTGCCCTTTTCCCTTAACGGCCCCCCCCCCCCCCTCAGAAATCAATGATTTTCATAGAAAACGTGAAATTGAGTTTCTTGCTCAGCTAGATAGGCCAAAGTCTCCTCTTTCAGAATATGTGTCGCTTTCTACAAAAGAACTATGTTTTCATGAGGTTTTGAGAGGTTTTCTGTTAGCCACCTCGGTTTTCAGCCATTTTTTAGCTATTTTTCCTTAGTTATCATGAATAAAATCGCGTAATTTTGAGTAGTAAAGATGTTTACTTAGTGTACTATGCCGTAATCATGATATCTGATATTTCTGTCAGATATTCATTAGGTTTTCTAGAGGTCAAATAACCTCTATGAGAGTAAAAGAAAGAGCTTTCTTTTTGCTTCATATATATGTATCGCACTCCTATATTGAACCTTAGATCTGCTGTCACTGTGCTCTTCAAACTTGTTTGACGTTTTTCTCAGAACATGGTTTTAGCGGTGTAATGTTGTATTAACTCTTCGACGATTCATCGTAAAACCTTCATTTTTTTTTTATTTTAAAGCTAAGACATTTATCCAAAATTTGATCCGCGGCGATTTTTGATTTTTGTTTTCTGTGCAGAGATAAGTGGCAAATACTCCGCCGAATTAGGGTTATTTTCAGAGCTCTGACTTAAAATACGTGTAGGGAATAAACGGAAGCGAAATTCAAAAATCGCCGCGGATCAAATTTTAGATTTAGGTGTCTACTTTCATTTGAGACCATTCGCAGCTTTCCGCACCTTCCAACAAAAAAGCCTTTACGCTTTTGCTGAGAGCCCCATTTTGCCCTTTGTCACGCAATAACTCGGCAGCACTTCAACGTTTCGATCTCGAATTTTCAGCATAAGCTCGCTGGACAGTAAGCATTAGTCACTGTAAGTGCCATCGAAATCGGATGGAAGATAAAAAAGGTTTTTCCTGAGGGGGGCCCCATTAATATTAAAAAATTCACAATTCACTTGAAAACATCAGATCGAGTTAGAAACTTCAGGATATAGCTAGTTGAGTTCATTTAACATGATTATACGAGCGGAAAAGTGAAAAAAAAGCATGTTTTCGATCAAAAGTTTTCTGGAAGCCCTTCCGAAAAACCATAGGGTTTTGTAAATTAGTTTTTGTGGATTTCTTATAAGTAGAATATAGAATAGCGTAAACACTGCACATCCTGAAGTTTCCAACTCGATCTGATGTTTTTCGAGTGAATTGTGAATTTTTTAATATTAAGTGAAAAGAGCCTGAAAACCACAATTTTGATAAAACTCGGTTTTCACCCTGTTTTTGATTCCTTTTCGCAAGATAAACATTGCCATCAGATCCAGTGCGGTCGATTACGTATGTTCCATTCGATTTCAAGACTAGATGAAGCCACTGGATGCCAGTCCTAAGGTTCCAAGGAAATCGGATACCATGCTCGAACCACTAGAAATCAAGGTCTCACTTGACCCCATTTTGAAGAGGACACTTTGGATTATCTGTCCATGAAGAAAATCGAAAGTATTTGCACTTGAAGTTTTTGAGCTATGAGCTGGTTTTCCAAAGATCTCCTCGAAAACCTACTTTAAAAAAATATTTTCGAATTAACATCTGTTATAAGAATGTGCCTCAAAGTCTCTTCTTTTGAATGGTGAAAATCCGAACTATCTATCACGTTCAATTCTCGAGATATTCAAAAAACAGTCAGGGGCATTGTATTTTGAAACGGATAGTAGCTTTTTGTTCAGTGGTCGCTTGCATTTCTTTTGTTCTTACCAACAATTCTTTCAAATTGTTAATAGGTGCACGCACTGCCTGTATTTTCTGTTTTTCTCCTCTATCTTAGACAACCAAGAGCTCGTTCTTTTAGCAAAAACTTTGTCATTCACGTTTCTGCTGGAGTATTCAAGATCAGTTTTTCCGCTTTTTTATGTCTTCTCTTCAAAGCAAAAGTTGATCAATGTGGGTGATAACCAAGAAACCAAGTCGCAATAACGTAATAAAACGGTATTTTATCTTATTGCTCGATTTGCTAAAGAATTTAAAATTGAATTTAAATAGATTTATCTTGAAGCTAGTCACGGGAAGAGCACTGCAGATGCCATGGGTACGGTAACTAAAAAAGCAATGGCTGATATTATAACATATAAACCTGATGAAACATTTAGAAATGCAGAAGATTTATTAAAAGCAATCGAAAATCGAATTAATTTAAAACTATATATTTATGAAACACAAGATATTGAAAAAGTTAGACAATCATTACCAAAATTAAAAAGTATAAAAGAAACATTTGATTTACATGAAGTATTAGCTACTAAACAGCCCTGTACTTGAAAAGTTAGAGTCAGGCCACCACTCACACTGCGCATCCCACTTTTTATATCCATCGTGCTCTTGAAGGGGTATACGTTAGTTATGTGTCTACACGTAGATTTATACATTCGGTCTCTTCTTTGGATTTCATATAAATGCGTGCGAAACACATTAGAGATTTTTCGTAAGAGCATATCTAAAATAAGGTTTAATTTTAAAACTCAAGAAAGTAATATATGTTCACGTGTCGAACGACTGCTGTTAACGATAATTTTCTTTGTTTTATATTCTTAGAAAGAAATATGTTGAATTTTGAAACAGTTAACCAACAATACATTGGCGGAGTATGGCAAGATGGGAAAAGTAATCGCGAGCTTATCGATTTGAATCCGTATACCAATGAAGTTATAACAAAATTTAAAATGGCTACCAAGGACGATATTCATTTAACATATGTATCAGCTCAAAAAGCAAAATCGGATGAATGGGACAATGTGAATGCATACAAGAAATGTGATGTTTTTACATCGGCCCTGGAATATATTCAATTACACAAGAACGAAATTATTTCACTGCTAACAAAAGAATTAGGAAGTACACGACTGAAAGGTACATTTGAAGTTGATATTACGATACAATGTTTACGAGATGTTATCACATATCCTGTGAAAATGGATGGAAAAATTCTACCATCGTCCATTGAACACAAGGAAAATCGTGTTTATCGAGTACCGGTGGGTGTCGTTGGTGTTATTAGTCCGTCAAACTTTCCATTTTTGCTGACGATGAAAGCAGTCGCCTCAGCATTGGCAACGGGCAATGGAGTAGTAGTGAAACCACATGAAGATTCGCCTTTGACTGGTGGTGTCTTAATCGGTAAAATATTTGAACAAACTAAACTTCCAAAAGGATTATTAAATATTATCATAACTGATATTAGTGAAATTCGAGATTCATTTATTGAACATCCAATACCAAGAGTCATATCTTATACGGGTTCAACTAATATTGGCCGCCATATTGGTCAATTGTGTGCAAAGAATTTGAAACGTTCACTTTTAGAGTTAGGTGGTAATTCAGCATTTATCGTTATGGATGATGTGGTGGATCTTGAATATGTTGCCCGCTGTGCTGTAGTCAGTCGTTTTATGCATCAAGGACAAGTGTGTATGGCAGCTAATCGAATTCTCGTACAGCAAACGATTTTTAATCAATTTCTTGAAAAATTCGTTAAGAAAGTTTCCGAATTAAAAGTGGGTGACCCACAAGATCCCACTACACATATGGGCCCGTTAATTAATCATCGACAGGCAGAAGAACTGACTCAGCTTGTGCAAAAAGCAGTTGGCGAAGGTGTAAAATGTGTTGTTGGAAATGGACATGTTATAAAGGGGAATTTGGTTGAACCTACGGTTCTCGTTAACGTTACACCGGAGATGACCATCTATCGTGAAGAACTATTTGGACCTGTTGTGTGTGTCATACCATTTACTACTGAAGAAGAAGCAATTAAAATGACAAATGACACTCGTTTTGGTTTGAGTGCATGTGTTCATACAAAAGACATTGAACATGGTGTTAAAATAGCAAAACAAATTGAAACAGGAGCTGTACATGTAAATGATATAACAATTAATGATGAACCTTTGGTACCGTTTGGCGGTGAAAAACAATCGGGCATTGGGAGAATTAATGGACAAGGGTCAATTGATGCGTTTACAACTTCGAAATGGATATCAATTAATCATGACGAAAGACATTTACCATTTTGATCTTGTTTGATCGACAACAGTAGTCTGAAAGGAATAACAGTAGTTGTATTTGTATTTATTTTAACAGTTTATAAACATTCATAGAGTATATTATGCGGTGTTTCATATGCATGGCACTTTGGAAAGGCGGGAGCATTTAAATATTTCTGAAATCTCTGAAAAACAGGAATTATTTAAATCCAACTGTCAGTGTTTTTCGGAGGCATAGAGTTCGTCACAAAAGTATGCGTCAGATAACCATGGTGTATTCTATTCGTAAATAGATGACAGACTGCATACTTTTTACGCATATTAGACATACTTCATTTTTAAAAAAATTCGTGTAAATGTCAGCTATGACAGTCTCTGCTTTCCTCCACTACACTTGATGGCATCAGTAAATACAAATTTTAAGTTTTCATGTCAAAAACTTCTATCATCAAGAAAAAGAGCAGATCAACAATCATTTATTGAGTCTATTTTAAAGCATAAAGATCCTAGAAAGGCAGCGATTACGATAACTAGAGACGATGAAGATAATGAATATACATGGTATCTTGCCATTGATAGTATAATTAATCTAATTTGATTGTACATAAGCTTACGTAATTTAAAGCCAATCGTGTCCTATTCAGCAATCTGTCTAAATTTCGATATACAAAGTTTCATGTAATGTTCCTTAATCCTACTTGTTTAATGAAATATAGAATAAATGTCATACTTGGCAATATCAAAAGCAAAAAGCATTCATTACCCGTTAGTTTTGAAATAAAACAAAAAGAATTTAAAAAGAAAAAGTTGTACTTATTTCCGTTCAATTTTGAATTCAATCTCGAATACAGACTAAAGAAAATAAAGAGTAAATGTACTTTTGATCACCAAAAAAAGATACTTTTGATCACCAAATTTTTCAGCATGTATCTCACATTATTATTTTTCAACAAAGTATAATGTACAACACAAACATATTCATTGAAATATTAACCAAATGAACAATATTTTTACAGTTTTATTTATATCTATTTACAAATTTAAAGCTATGCTAACTTTCTTGGGACGCCCTTTTGCTTTTCGTTTGCCTAATGATTGAATACGTGTTTTATCGCTAACTTGATACAAGTTAAATAAAATTGCTAATCCTACAGATTGTTGCCACACAAGAAAATCATTGGATGTAGCCACTGATGAGAACGATAAATATCTAGCCAATGATACATTCAATGATTTTCTGGTGTGGCAACAATCCTGTTGGCTTGCTGTACCATTAGAATCATGTAGCTGTCCGGTTGGTATGAAAGTATATTCGTGTAAACCTTCTGTTGGATTAGCAATTTTATTTAACTTGTATCAAGTTAGCGATAAAACACGTATTCAATCATT